AAAAAAAAAAAAAAAGGACATTCAAAATACTATGTAATTCCATTTGTAGGAAGTTCAAAAACATGTAAACATGGCAAACCCAAGATTTATGTAGTATTAGAACTATTAGGCAAGTTCAGTATAGTTGCCACATAAAAGATTAGCATAAAAATTGATAGCATTACTATGCTCAGTTATCACCCATTGAATACATGACATTAAAGGAAAAATACTCCGCTATAGAAACAAAACTATAAGACACTCAGAAATAAGCCCAGTAAATACTCGAGACCAGTTAAGAAAATCGTAAAATAATTAGATTCATAAAGAAGATCTGAATAAGTAGAAATACATATTATGTTCATGTATGGAAAGACTCAGTAGTATAATGATACTAGTTGTCTCCCAAATAATCTCTAAATCCAGTGCATAGCAAACTAGGCCTAAAACTCATGTGGAAGAATGAAGGGACAAAAATTAAAATTTTGAGGAAGAACCAGTTATGAGGATTTGTTTTGTCAAATTTTAAAATTTATTATGTAGCCACAGTAAATAAAGAGTGTAGCATTGGTGTAGGTATAAACAGTGCAACAGAATAGAGTGCCCTGAAAAAAACATATGTACACACATGATCTGTGACCGAGATTGCATTATTAACCAGTAGAGAAAGAACAAACGAATTAAAAAATGATGCTGCGAGGCGCCTGGGTGGCTCAGTTGGTTAAGCGACTGCCTTCGGCTCAGGTCACGATCCTGGAGTCCTGGGATCGAGTCCCGCATCGGGCTCCCTGCTCAGCAGGGAATCTGCTTCTCCCTCTCCCCCTGCTTGTGTGCGCTCTATCTTTCTCTCTTGCTCACTCTCCCTCTCTCTCAAATAAATAAATAAAATATTTAAAAAAAAAAATGATGCTGGGTCAAAACTGGTTATCCATGTGGAAAGAAAAAATTCCATCCTTAGCTCACTTCAAAGCCAAGTTATGAGCAGATTAAAAATCTAAAAATGAAAAGGAAACTTGAAAAATTCAGAAGCGAATTTAGGAGAATATGTTTATGACTTTGAGATAGAAAGGGTTTCTCAAAGAACAGAGAGTGCAAACCATAAAAGATTAAAATTTTAAAAATTCTTTTTACAAAAAGACACTATAAAGTTATGAGAAACATGAAAGAATGAATTTGAACTTTTTGCCTCATACCATATACAAACATAAAATGGATCTAATATTAGAGCTAAAATTATAAAACTTAGAAGAAAGCATGGCTAAGTCTTCACAACCTTGGCTTCAGCAAAGGATTCTTAGATATATCTGACACCCAAAGCATGAGCTACAAAAGAAAAAATACATAATTTAGATTTGGGTGCTAATAGGAGGGAGTGAGATGTGATTCTAAAAGGGCAACAGGAGGAGGGGCACCTGACTGGCTTAGTCAGTGGAGCGTGTGATTTGATCGCGGGTTGTGAGTTTGAGCCCCAGATTGGGTGTAGAGATTACTTAAAAAAAAATAAAACCTTAAAAACCTTTCTTACAAAAAGGCAGTAAGAGAGATCCCTGTGGTGATAGAAATGTTGCATACTTTACTACGTCAGTGTCAATGGCCAGATTGTGATATTGCACTATATTGTACTGTTGCAAAATGTTACTGTGATGGGAAACTGACAGTGTGCACACAGGATCTTTCTATGTTACTTCTTGTAACTGCATGTGAATCTAAATTATCTCAAAAAATACATATTTATACAACAGAATGTTACAGAGTTTAGAATTAATGAATGGAAGAAACCACATTAATCCAAATGGATAAATCTGGGACATAACTTTGAATGTAAAGTGCAAATTGCAAAAGAATTGCCTTATTTCTTGATACATATGTAATTATATAAAAACATACATGGGAATGATAAAATTCAAATTCAGAACAGTGATTTCCTTTGGGGATCAGTAAGGGAGGAGATAAGCTTGTGAAAGGGAGCTCAGGAGGATCAATTACCATGATACTTATTTTTTTTTTTTTTAAAGCTGGAACAAGTATTATAAGATGTTGAACTATTTTGAGCTACATGGTGAATATAGTTATGTTAGGTTGTTCTCTATTTTTCTGTGTGTTTAGAATACTTTATATTTTTAATCATTAATACACAATATATTGATAATTTTTTTTGTGAATCTTCTAAGTATTTAATCAGTAAACTAACCATAAAATCGGTTAACTTATACAAGGATTCTTAGAAGTGCTTGCAATTCTACAAATTTATTCTGAAGAATAAAACTGTGATGAGAGGTTGGATTCCTAGTTAGTAGTTAGGTTTTTTTGAAATTAGCTGTTTAGAATGATAATACTGGGGACTGTTTATTCAGTGCTTCCTATGTGCATGCATAGTAAGCATTTTGTAAGCATTTTGCATATGATGTCTTGTTTAATTCCTAAAACAACCCCCTTGAAATTAGGTATTATTCGTTTTCCAATGAAGAAACTGGCTTAGTTTATCAAAGCTCACACGATCAGAATTGGAATCTGGGTCTCTGTGACTCTAAAGTTATGCTCTTAAGCCACTTTGCTGTATGCCTTTATTTTATATATATAGTTGTCCTAAAAATTCTGTAGTAAATTAGAGTTTATTGAAAGAGGGGGAGGGCAAACATTATCTGCTGTACAAGATGATTTCTAGAGTTCAAGAGACCCACGATAAAAGCATCAAATCACATTTTTATTCCTCTTTCCCATCTACTCTGTTCATACCTGACTCCTTTCTGTTACTATTGTTGAAACCTTACTATCCATTCTTGTAAAATCTACAGTGGACTGCAATTTCCAGTGTTATATTACCATAGAAATTTTTAGTTGGGAAAGTAGTTGAAGGAGTTGAAATTGGGAAATGAATCAGAAGCCAGTTAAGGAATTCAGGATGACTTAGAACTTAATATGCTATATTATATTTCACAAAGATTCAGGTCTTCTGATTTCTGATCTTGTATTTTTATTATTCAGTCTTTCCTTAAAAAAAAAAAATCTAAGAAACAACATTAAGGGTAATGAACATAAACATCATTTGTGCTGTCAGTCCCTCTTCCTTCTGTACTCCTCCACTAGATGTCCTCTTCCTCTTTCTAGTATTCCCCATCCTAGAATGAGCTCTTGCTAGAATCTAGAGTACAATTTTCCTGTTTTTTTGTTTTTTTAAACCAGGAATAGGGCATAGGATGGCTCCTGCTACAATCAAGACAACTGTTCTCTTTTTCCTCAGGAATCATCAAAACCAATAGATTGTACTCTTTTAGACCTAACCATGAAAATTGTTTAGTTTATTAATGATTGATGATAATAGAATTTTTGGCAATTTGGATTAAACTCTTGTTTAATTGCTTGTGAAAACTGTAACAATGAATTTTAGATGATATAAACTGTTACCTCCGGCTTAAAGAATGCGAAAGTAAAAGTCTACCACTAAGAAATAACCATGAGAAAATAAATGTTGGGCACCCATATTCTAAAGGTTTATACTTAACCTCGTTGTTGATGTCTGTATTCATTGTTGTTCCGGCTAAACTTTGTTTTCCAGAACCAAAAGTCTTGCCATTCTTACGACCACTTTTGTTGATAATCCTGTACTAGAATCCTTTGAGGAGAGGTGTCATAACATATAAGGATGCCATTATTCGTCAGAAAGAACTGATTTACTTACTCTCTTACTGGAGAATATTAAACTTATCCTATTAAAATCATAATTAATAGCCCTGTAATTTTGTTGGGAGGCTTTAAAAGAGGTACATAATTGTGCTAGCTTAGATGTGACTATAATTTAATCTTTCTGTATTTCTGGTGGTAAGTTATTTATATTTTAACTTGGAGAAAGATTATGTTTTACCTTTTTATTTTCTAAGGAACTGGCATTTGATCCATATGAATCATATGCTCGAGATATTTTACGGCCTGGTTTTCATGATCGCTTCCTTAGTCAGTTATCAAAGCCTGGAGCGGCACTCTATTTACAGGTATAGTAATTTTTAAAACAAAATATATGATGTCTGAAAAGTAAACTTAAAAAAAAATTAATTACTTTGTTTTTTAGTCAATAGGCGAAGGTTTCAAAGAAGCTGTTCAGTATGTTTTACCCAGGCTACTTCTAGCCCCTGTTTACCACTGTCTACATTACTTTGAACTTTTGAAGGTAAGAAAACTCTTACTGCTATTTATAAAACATTCAAATGTGATGCAATTTTTTTTATCAATTTATTTGTGAATTATTATGTGAGCACCCATGAACATTGGTCTATATCTAATTGCTTTTTCTAGTTAAGAATAAAATGTAAATGAATCTGCAAAAGAGTGGCATATTTTCTCTAGTTTTAATAGTGAATTTTAAAGCAGTCATCAGATATTTTTATCTTGTGCCCTTTTTGCTTACAGGGCCAGTTGTTTGGAAACAACCTTGGACTTACGCATCCATGTCTCCATTTGGGGACCTCAGCAGATTGATTCAGGGACTTAGATAAGGGACCCAATGTAGAGAGAATGCCAAAGAAATGGAGAATATTAATCACCTAATTTTCATTGCTCAAGTTTGTAACTGTCTCTATAAAACTGCTTAACATTACTTTAGAAATAGTAAACTATGTATAATCCCAGTAAAAATTTCTTATTTGATCACAGTTCAAAATATTCAATTTAAGAAACACTGAAAGGAAAGGATTTTGATTTTTTTCCCCCTTTTCCTTTTTCACACTTAAGGAAAAAGGGACCCTTAGTCTGTATAAGTTATAATTCATTGGTGTAGCTCAAAGTGATTTACTTTTAAACTTCTTATGTATATATCTAATGATGTCTCCTTTGGCTTATGGATAATATGTCCTAAGAAAACATCAATTTTTTTTTCAAAAATTTAAAATAAGGAATGAAATAATAAACATACTCTGTTTACTCTTAATGAACTAGCCCCATAGAGACAAAATAAGACATGGGTTAATACTATTATTTCTTTAACTTTTAAAAGAATGTTTGCTTCATTAAAGAAAAATTCTATTTAATATCATGATTTTGTTATGGAGAATTTATTAGCAGAAATTATATTTACAGTTTGCAGGAGTACATGCTGAAATGGGCTCTCTATAATGAATCAGTGAACGAAGTCCCATCTTTTTACATTGTAGGAATTTGGACCTTAGATTTCTCAAGTAGGAATGTTTGAACTGGAGAAAGACCAAGGGAGTTAAAGGATTTAATCACCAAGCAGAATTACAGAGCTCTTAGCTCTCCATTCTAGACTGAAAACAGCATACCATTTAAGGTCTTTGGTAACATAGAATGATTATTTTAAGAGGATAATCAAGAGGAAGCATTTGTTATACAAAACCATTCTTTACAAAGAATTTATTATGACAAACCATAGTCCTAACAGGATATTTGCAAACAAGTTTGTTATATAGAATCCTTGTTCATAATAGTTTATTTGATAATGGGATTTTAACCTGAGACAGTAATGACATTCTGAAGCATTAAAGGCCAAATGAAACCTAGAAGCAGTTATTAATTTATAAGAAAGAACAAGAAGCTTTGATGAAGGTTGAAAAGGCTGTAAAATCTAATCAGCTTAATAATATAGGAAATTATTTACTTCCCCCCCCAAATACAGGCAATTAAAATTTTTAAAATTGTAAGTTGTGGTAGTAGAGTTTTTATTTTAAAATATCATTCAGCAATTTAAAAGATTTCTACTGGTTTAAGCATATGTATCCCTAGTTCATCTTACTGCCTAAAGTTCCATTGCAGAATTAGCAGTATATTGAGTGGGAAACCTTGCCTAATTAATCCCACAGACTGTGATCCCTCCTTTTTAATCTGCATTCCCTCAGTACTAAGGTATTATTTGTACTTATTTTTCAATTTCTATTTGTTGGTATGTTGCTTAATTAAATATTTTCAGTGAGCAGTATTTTCAAAGAATATTCTTTGAGATGCTAGTCCCATGAGATACTCTCAATAAAAAGTTGGTGAGGGAGGGATGTGCAGTGGTTAGATATGTTGGAGGAAGACTACATCCTTAATTATATACTCCTAGAAATTTTCAAAGTACATTAGAATATTAAAGACTTTATAAAATTGTGCAATAAAGCAATCTAATTGTTTTCTAGGGCTTCCCAAATTAATTAGACCATGAAACCCTTTTATATTTTTGTTTTATGTTAACACACAGTTTTGTATTGGTTTCAGGATAATGATTCAGTGATTCTATACATTCCTCAGTGCTCATCAAGAATCCCCTTTAACTACTTCAGGGGATCCTCACCTACCTCCCTCTGGCAACCATCAATTTGTTCTTTGTATTTAAGTCTTTTTGTTTGTTTGTCCTCTTTTTTTCTTTGTTGTTCATTTGTTTCTTAAATTCCACGTATGAGTGAAATCATGTGGTATTTGTCTTTCTGTCAGTGACTTATTTCATCTAGCATTACACTGTAGGTCCATCCATATTGTTGCAAATGGCAAAATCTCATTCTTTTTTGTACCTGAATAATATTCCATTGTATATATACACTGCATCTTCTTTATTCATCTATCAGTGGACACTTGGGCTGCTTCCATGATTTGGCTATTGTAAATAATGCTGCAGTAAACATAGGGGTGCATATATCTTTTCAAATTAGTGTTTTTGTATTTCTTGGGTAAATACCCAGTAGCAGAATTACAGGATCACATTTTTAATTTTTCAAGGAACCTCCATACTGTTTTCCAGAGTGGCTGTACCAGTTTGCATTCCCACCAACAGTGCATGAGGGTTCCTTTTTCTCCACATCCTTACCAACACTTGCTATTTCTTGTATTTTTTATTTTAGCCATTTTGATAAGTGGAAGGTGATACCTCATTGTAGTTTTGATTTGATCAGTGATGTTGATCATCTTTTCATGTGCTCTGTTGGGCATCTGTATGTTGTCTTTGGAAAAATGTCTGTTCAGGTCCTCTGCCCATTTTCTAATTGGATTACTTGTGGGTTTGGCATTGAGTTGTATAAGTTTTTTAATATATTTTGGATAGTAACCCCTTACTGGATATATCATTTGCAAATATCGTCTCCCATTCAATAGGTTGCCTTCTTATTTTTGTTGATTGCTTCCTTCACTGTGCAAAAGCTTTTTATTTTGGTATAGACCCAAAGTTTAATTTTGCTTGTTTCCCCTGCCTGAAGAGACATATCTGAAAAAATGTTTCTATAGCCGATATCAAAGAAATGAATACCTGTTTTCTTCTAGGAGTTTTATGGTTTCAGGTCTCACATTTAGGTCTTTCATCCATTTTGAGTTTATTTTTGTGTATGGTGCAAGAACGTGGTCCAGTTTCATTCTTTTGTATGTAGCTGTCCAGTTTTCCCAGCACCATTTGTTGAAGAGACTGTCTTTTACCCGCTGCATATTCTTGCTTTCTTTGTTATAGATTAATTGACCATATAAAGTTTTATTTCTGGGCTCTCTATTCAGTTCTTTTGATCTATATGTCTGTTTTTTTTGCCAGTGCTGTACTGTTTGGATTACTACAACTTTATAATGTATTTTGAAATCTAGGGTTCTGATACATCCAGCTTTGTTCTTCTGTCTCAAGATTGCTTTGGCTATTTGGGGTCTTGTGTGGTTCCATACAAGTTTTAGTATTATTTGTTCTAGTTCCATGAAAAATGTTAGTGTTTTGATAGGGATTATGTTAAATCTGTAGATTGCTTTGGGTAGTGTGGACATTTTAACAATATTGATTTTCTGATCCATGAGCATGGAATATCTTTCCATTAGTTTGTGTCATCTGAGTTTCTGTCATCAGTGTTTCACAGTTTTTGGAGTAGAGGTCTTTCACCTACTTGGTTAAATTTATTTCTAGGTACTTTATTATTTTTGGTGCAATTGTAATTTGGATTGTTTTCTTAAATTCTCTTTCTGCTACTTCATTATTAGCGTATAAAAATGTAACAGATTTCTGTATATTAATTGTGTATCCTGAGACCTTACTGAATTCATTTATCAGTTCTAGTAGGTTTTTTGTTTTTGTTTTTGTTTTGTTTTGTTTTTTGGTGGATTCTCCAACATAAAACCATTTTAAAACAATACATTTCTGGGGCACCTGGGTGGCGCAGTCGGTTAAGCATCCGACTCTTGGTTTTGGTTCAGATCGTGATCTCAGGGTCATGAGATTGGCCTGGTGTGAGGCTCTACACTCAGCATGGAGTCTGTTTGGGATTCTCTCTCCCTCTCCCTTTGCCCCTAACCCACCCCTGTGTGTGTGCTGTCTCTCTCTCTTTCAAATAAATAAGTATATCTTTAAACCATAAGAATTTCTGGAAGTTACTTTGTTCTCTACATTTCACTAACACTGCCTTGGTCCAGGCCCCCCAGCGTATCTTGCTGGGACTACTGTAGTGGCTTCCTGTAGGGCCTTTATGCCTCATGGAACTTTCAGTTTTAAAAAGTGTGGTTGGTTCCCTATCGACTTCGACGGAAAGTCTAAATTCTTTACCCTCTTTCCAGCTCATCTCAATTTTTAGCAGCCCTGGATATATCAAACCTGTTCAGGATTCCACTTTCCTTTTGTTCTAATTTCCCTGGAATTTCTCTTCTATTTCTGCCTTCCCTTTTCATCTGAGAAATGCCTACTTGTCAAAGAGTTTGTTCAAATCTTGGTTTCTCCGTCAAGTTTCCCTTGGTTCCTTAGGCTGATCCTTTTACCATGTTCCCTCTCTTTATACTTCCTCATAGAACTTGTCCCATTTTTATTGTCTACCTTGTTTTAGGCCGTGCTCCCCACATAATGGATGTGAGCCCTGAGTAGCTTTGAATTCTCATGCCTAGTAGTGTCTGGCACTTAGACAATAAATGCTTGTTAAAAAAATTAATGACAGGGCGCCTGGGTGGCTCAGTCGTTAAGCGTCTGCCTTCGGCTCAGGTCATGATCCCAGAGTCCTGGGATTGAGCTCCGCATCGGGCTCCCTGCTCCGCGGGAAGCCTGCTTCTCCCACTCCCTCTCCCACTCCCCCTGCTTGTGTTCCCTGTCTGGCTGTTTTTATCTCTGTCAAATAAATAAAACCTTTAAAAAAAAAATTAATGGCAAAAATAAGTAAGTTTTCCTTAGAATTCCTATAAATGTCTTATATTTTAAAAGAAGCTTAATTGTAAATTGTATGTAATTACACTAAT